TTTTATGAAACGTGGAACGAGTTTTTTTTAACCCTTTACACTAGCTTCAATAATGAATATAGTCACAGAATTAGAGAGAAATTAATGCAGAATTGAATTGGTTTTTTTTTTAATAATTCAATAAATTATATTTTATATCATATTTATATATTATATAATTTTATTTTATATTATATAATTATATTTATATATTATATAATTATATTTTACAATTTTTTAGAACTGAATGAGTTTCTTAACTCTTTACACTAGCTCTCTGTATTCTCCAAACTGCAAATAGTTCCAGAATTAGAGAGAAATTTAGTTTTTCTTTTTTTTGATAAACTTCCAGGTTAACCGATTGCGGACCACAACGAGTGACCAAACCGTATACAATAATTCGTCGCTTTCTTTTTGAACTCGTCGATATCATATGATATCACTGGATAGCAAATTATTGAGAAGTAATAAATTTATTATCTGTTTTGCCTGAGTTATACCTAAATATACTTGAAACTCAGATAATGTTGCAATTTTGGGACAAAGAATTCTCGACGTGTGTGGCACGTTATTCCAGCGCAAAAGGTTAAAATGGCATAAATACCTGCAATTTATTCAACGTATATGACGGATTTTACTATAAGTAGACTGCGTCATTCTTTATAGGACATCTTTCCAACCTCGCTACTATAAACCACTTATAAAACTTGTACAGTTTTGTTGTACAGTACTTGCGCAACAACAAGGATATATTCGTTCATCGATCTACAAATGATCGTTTCATTTCATTTGTAAATAAAACGTAGAATATAAAAACAATCGAAGGAAATATATATATATAATACAATGTGCATGTAATGCGCGAAGATTAAAATGATTTTTCCTTCCTACGTAAAACTTCCAATTCGAAATGTCCCTCTTCTCGTCGGACTGCTCCAATTGAAACGAAATGATAAAGAACGAGTTCAATTTGCAGGGTTTCTCGTTGAAATATTAACAGGATAATGGGAGCTAATGTACCCTGGAAATCGATCAAATCGTTTCACCGCATCTAACCTATACACGCCAGGTCATACATAGATTTCGGGTCACTACCTTAACTTCCATCTTATCGTGAATCCTTTATGCTTCAGAATATTGTTATAGGTTTATTTTAAGGGATATAGAACTGGGTTCCTTCTTATATATATATATATAAAAGATATATCTTTTCTTTTTTATTCTTATACATATATATATATTATATCTTATTATATAATATTATATATTATATATAATAAAATATAATATAATATATTATTACATTATAATAATTATAATATATTATTATATTAATAAAATATTATATTACAATATATTATAATATATATTATATATATTAAATATTTTATTATATATAAAGATATTTCTTTTCTTTTTTATTTTTCAGAAATTTTTATTCTAACTCTCTGACGTCGGACAGATTTGTAAATTTATAGTAGCACTCCCACGATCAGGTTTTTCTTTTTATTGAACATTTTATTTCTACAAGTCGTTATTATTACAGCACACAACAACTGGAGGGAAAACACATACACATTTATAGATGTTATTTTAAAAAATCCTGTTCCGAATATAAAAATGTAATTATCGATTTTTGTCTTGCGAAAGCATAAAAGATCTGACGATTGGAAAATGTTTGATTCGGTCTTAATCTGACCGGACGTGAGGGGAACAGATTTCGAAACGAGCGAATTGGAAAGCTTCGATGTATTTCCCCCCCCCCCCCCCCAAAAAAAAGAATTGAGAGAAACGAGACTCGAATTCAATTTTCGCTAAAATTCAACAATTAATTACTTTCATATACTGGACTTGAATTATACTTGATTCGAATCGAATTTGTAATTATTTGACTTAATATACTTAATTCAATAAATATTCAAATTGATTGCAGATCTGCATAAAATATTTTTCTGAGAAATTTCCAAACTTTGTGATACACTTTAACATCTAAAAGCACTGATGTTCGCTTTTTTTTTTTTTTATTAAAATTTAACTGTTCGTGCGATAAGAGCACAGTGTTCTTTATTCTACGTATCACGTTTTTTTCTATTTCACGTTCACGTTTTATACTTTAGTCGTCGGTGTTTCGATGTGTTGAAACAGAATACATACGAGAGCATATGTAAGGCAAGGGGTTAATCAAGCTATTCAAACGATTATTTCTGACCGGTCAGGGAACGTGTTTCACGCGGTAACGATAAGGAAGGTCTTCTATCTGGTCGTGAGCTTTTAAAGCAAAGAGCGTGCTTCGAGGCTTCGAAGAACAACCAGATATCGTAAAGCAGAGAACGTAGCTACTGTCGTTACTTAAGTTTAGTAGCGAGAAATATAGAGGCGATAATGATATATGAGAGCAAAGAGAATGAAATTAGAGTTGCACGATACGTGCGTGTATGTACGTAGAAAGTTCTGGTATCTCGTACCGAATGAAATCTTGTGCCTGACAATTTAACACGGTATAAATCGACGAAGATAATTTTTATTTTTATGTTTATACACATGAATTTCATTTTTATACTGTGCTGCAGATTACTTTCGATTATTCGAGGGATAATTTGCTCCATTACGACCAATAAGGACTAATAATGTAAAATTTTATATTACATATGTGTAATGTAGAATTATAATGTGATTGTTATTTTTATTTGTGCTTCGTTTACTGTACTTCTATTTGATAGTAAATATAGCGCTGTGAATTTCATTTCTCTCTTTTTTTTTTTTTCTTCACAAAGAAGGTTCACAATGTTAATCAAACCTGTTGTTCAACAAGTTAAACAGGCTGTTGTCAAGTGATTATTCGTACATATAATATATATTCATGAATTAATATTTATTTACTGCCAAATAAATATTAGTATCAAATACTGATGTTATTTGAACATTGATGACAAATTCAGGTATAATGAATATACGAATATAAATGTTATCCCAGAATTAAATGGAGATAAAATAGATATTTTCTGTTCCGACGAATCGATCTGTATTGGTGTATTTGCAAAAGAAAAGTAGATCCTCTCACGTCATATTTGCGAGATCGCTCTCTATAATTTGTCTATATTTTTCAAATCCAAGTCTTATTCCAAGTCTTATTCCAAAGTCAACAAATTAATCGTTCATCAAAGAAACCATGAATTCGAGCAATTGTCTTTGTTTTTAGGATTTATAATATTATAATTTGTGGTCCTGATTTGAATTTAAATGACAAACTAAAAGGAGCTCTCTCGATTGGAATATGCTGATTGATCGATATTTGGAAAAATTGAGATCTTTGATCACTTGCGCTGGGCAACTGATTGCGGACCATAACGAGTGACCGAACCAATACAATAATTCATCGCTTTCTTTTTCTATTGAACTCGTTGGTATGATATTACTGGATAGCAAATTACTGAAGAGAGAAGTAATGAATTTGTTATCTGTTTCGCCTGGATTATACTTAAATATAGTTGAAACTGAGGAAAGTATTGCAATTTTGGGACAACAAAAATTCTCGACGTGCGTCATTCCAGCGCAAGAGGTTAATCAACTGATTGCGGACCATAACGAGTGACCAAACCGTATACAATAATTCGTCGCTTTCTTTTTGAACTCGTCGATATCATATGATATCACTGGATAGCAAATTATTGAGAAGTAACAAAATTTATTATCTGTTTTGCCTGAGTTATATCTAAATATACTTAAAACTGAGAAAACAGTGCAATTTTGGGACAAAGAATTCTCGACGTGCGTGGCACGTTATTCCAGCGCAAGAGGTTAACCAATTGCGGACCATAACGAGTGACCAAACCGTATACAATAATTCGTCGCTTTCTTTTTGAACTCGTAGATATCATATGATATCACTGGATAGCAAATTATTGAGAAGTAACAAAATTTATTATCTGTTTTGCCTGAGTTATATCTAAATATACTTAAAACTGAGAAAACAGTGCAATTTTAGGACAACAAATTCTCGACGTGCGTGACACGTCATTCCAGCATAAGAGATTAAACTTGCGCTGGGCAACTGATTGCGGACCATAACGAGTGACCAAATCGTATACAATAATTTGTCGCTTTCTTTTTCTTTTGAACTCGTCGGTACGATATCATTGGATAGAAATTACTGAGGAGTAATAAATTTGTTATTTGTTTTGCCTGGATTATATTTGAATATACTTGAAACTGAGAAAATATTGCAAGTTTGGGACAACAAATTCTCGACGTGCGTGTCACGTTATTCCAGCGCAAGAGGTTAAGCGCGTTGGCAGGTTCGTCGGCGCAAACAAATAAATTACTCATCGTGCTGGAAAGTTATCGAGCGTGTAAACGAACTCTAGGTTGATAACGTCGTTTGCAATTAGCGGCGTTACACTGGCAACATCAGTATCGACGCCCGCGACACGCATCCATTTTTCAATCAGTTTTCAACGGGGTTCTCCCCCCTTTTATCGCTGTTCGATAAAGTTCGAACGTTCGAGAGACAAATCCACAAGTGAAAATATAATACATAATTTCACGGTATAATTTCAGCGAACGAACAAAGAAAATTTGGATCTGTTGTAAACAGTTGATACCGGTTAAATCTAAAGTATATACTTTGGGACTAATTTTTTTTCTACTACCATGTATAATATTGTTGGAATAATTATTTAGAATACTTTCGTGTACAATACTTTTTAGAATGTATAACAAATTTATCTTGTTGCTTCTATCAAAAATCTCGAGCAATTAACGCGTGCGTTGTTGTTACAATCAAGTGTGCCAACAGGCACACTATGTTACTATATCGTTGAATAAAAATAAAACGACCCGAGGCTCTATTATAGAAAAATGTAACATAGGCTCACCCTTTGAGCCGTGCTCTAAAAAAAATCCATATTTCGCAAAATATTGAAAAAAAAAAAAAAAAAGGGAAAAGAACGAAACATCACCAAAATGATCAGGATCCCTGATTTCGATTTTTACATGCATCGAATTTTTCATTGTTTCGTCGCTGTATTCTGATTAACATTTGCACAACATGAAAGAAATTCAGAAATATAGTGGGCAAGTTTTGATTAAAATCATTGATAAGTTTTGTGAATTTTCTATAATATAGGAGCACGAGAAAATGACTCGATTATGATTTCAAAGATATTCGAAAGAAGAGCAAAAGTTGCACGCTCGCGAGCCGCCAGCGTTAAAACTGGACTATTTCTTACCACTTGTTGGTGTTGGCAGAGTTTTTAACACGTACGCGAGACATCTGCTGTTTTCGATTCTCGAAGACAACGTTTTGATTCGACGTCTGATTGAGAACGATATATGCGTTTTCTTTTTTTTTTTTTTTTTTAGAATGAAACAGTCAAATTTACTTCAATTTATCGCGTTGTTCTTTTATCCCTGTTTTAAATTCCACTCTAATTTTACCACTAAAATATTATTATACTAACATTAACACGTTCGAGACAGTGTCAATCTCTGTGGATCCTAATAAATACACTTGATTTTTATTAACATAAAAAATACACGTAAGAAAAAACTATAACTCATATAACATGAAAAATACACGTCTCGAACGTGTTGAATTAATTTCAAACGATAATAGTTTAATTTAACACAACTCTCCTTCCAATTCTCACGTCCAAAGGCTACGAGCTGATAAATCCGCGAAAGAAGACGTAACTTAATAAATATGTATGGAAATACGTAGATAGAAGCGAAAAAAGAAATGATTCGATTCTCCCTAGTGCCGAGGAGAGGGGGTGGACGGGTGATCGAGGCGTAACTCATTGAGAATCACAGTATCAATAATAAATCATGGGCGTCTTTCGGTTTAGACTGGCGCTGCCGGCGATATTTTCTTTCGAGCGATATCAAAGAGAAACACGCCTTTCGCCCGACGATCCGTCACATAAAAGCATCTTTTCGGAAGTTTCGAAAAAGGGGACGAGGCCTCGGCTCGAGGGCGAACGTTTAAACGTTGTAACATCGGTAATGTCGCGGTTTCTCCATCCTTCTCTCTTTCATTCTCTCTGTCCCACTCCTCTCTCTCTCTCTCTCTCTCTCTCTCTCTCTCTCTCTCTCTCTCTCTCTCTCTCTCTCTCTCGGTCTAACCTTTGCAGAGCGCATGCTTTCCAGAATTTCAACTCAAGGATTTCGTTTTCAAGGAGGAACTATCTCTCCGCCGCGGAACAAAAGCGAAAAAAGAAAAAGAAATTTCGATCGGAATGCAGGTTTAGGTTAGGTTGGCACGCGCTCGGAATGAATTTTAAGGGAAGAGATGTAAATGAACAAGGAGAACGGCAGATAGAGTTTCGAATTTTTCAACACCCGATACCGTAGTATCTCGAGGATAAGTTATATCTTTCCTCATGGTAAGAAAATATTGGTTTTGACCATTTGCGCTGGGCAACTGATTGCGGACCATAACGAGTGACCAAACTGTATACAATAATTCGTCGCTTTCTTTTTGAACTCGTCGATATCATATGATACCACTGGATAGCAAATTATTGAGAAGTAACAAAATTTATTATCTGTTTTGCCCGAGTTATACCTAAATATCCTTGAAACTGAGAAAATATTGCAATTTTGGAGCAAAGAATTCTCGACGTGCGTGGCACGTTATTCCAGCGCAAGAGGTTAACTAATTGCGGACCATAACGAGGACCGAACCGTATACAATAATTTGTCGCTTTCTTTTTGAACTCGTTGGTATATCACTGGACAGAAATTATTGAGAAGTAATAAATTTATTATTTGTTTTAAATTAAAATTGAGAAAATATTGCAATTTTGGGACAAAGAAGTTAACGTTTGCCTTGGAAGATATTTCATAAGTACGTTATTTAAATTCTACATTTTATTATACCTTAGTCTCAAAGAAAGTTCTCGACTCGTGAGTTGCATTGGAATACAGAATTCGAATTTCTTTGAAATCCTGTATGTTACTTCGCGCGAGGCAAGAGAATAATATTTCGATTTTTCGAATAAATACGAAACACAATACGGAATTTCGTTCTGTTTCTAGAAAATTTCTATTTCCACGTATTTTCGCGAAGCGGAATGAGATAGTCCAACGTTGCGAGAATGCTCGCAATTTTATCAAAACAGCGTGTGTAAGATATAAACATCATATGGCACGCTATTATTTCGTTTCAAGGGAAAAAGTTTCTCGCTGCATGGAAAATAAAACTTTCTGACAAGTGGAAAACAAAAGTGCTTGACATTTCAGGGACCCCCTATATACGTACACATGTATCTTGATATTTGATAATATTTTCTTGTTAAATTGTTATCTGTTTTCTATATTCTGCAATAGGTTTAACGCGAGAGAATCTCCAAAAATTACCTAAACTACAAATTCATTGAAAACGAAAAAAATATAACATTTCTATTTCATGTGATTCTATGATTGAACAAAATTTATTCGATTGAGAATCCCTGTTCGATATTAATCACACCTACGATCTAACGAAAAGCCGACGAACACACTGATGTAATCATGTAAAAAAAGAAAAAAAAAAAAAAGAATGGAAGCCTGGAGCAAAAAATATTTGGAACAGAGCTTTTTGAACAAAACTGGTTGAGAAATACTGTTCCATTCGACATAATAGTCAAATCACGGTATTGATACATCCGAACACTTAGAAACACCATTTTGTAATAAAATCGTGTCCTGGTCAGAAACAGATCAACACCCATGCAACGTCAATTATACTTATTGAATGAGATGTAATAATCTATTTGACATTATAATATATTTGACATAATAGTCAAATCACGATATTGACATATTCGAAACAGTTAGAGACGCTATTTCATAATAAAATTGTGCCCAATGCAGAAACGCGTAACTTGTAGAAACGTCAATCTCCCAATTAAAAAACAAATTCACGAGAAATCCTCTTGTTGATCTCACCAGTAACAATATTTTAATGTATTATGGTCGTGATTTGATATAACTGTGTATGATTCAATATAGTTACTAATGGGCGTGATGTTAAAGAGATAAGTAAATATCAAGGTTGATATTGATTTTCCGAGGATTTTCCGGATAATATGAGCCGTCATGTTTGAGGTTAGAAAACGCTTTCGCGACGTTCGATATACGAAAATTCCTCGACGTCGGGGAAACGCGACTGCGAGACAGGAATATTAAATTTCATCATGAACTGGCGACTATAAGTCGCTTCCTGCGACGGACAAACCTTTTTCCGATGTTTCCAACGGAAGCACAGTGTCAAAAGGACACTCTGCATCCGTGACAAGTTGAGAATCACTTTTGTTCCTTGCACGATATTCTCTTTTAATTTCAATCTCAGTTTCAACGAACAGGGAAATGTTTTACATTTTATGAAAAGCAACATTAAAAACACTGTACTAGTTAAAAGTTCGAAAATTATTCTCTCGGTTCGTTCGGCTAATTTTGTCACTGATTCGTAGTTCTTCGATATAGATTTTCTAAAAATTATTAGATTGTGGATATGGTGATTTCAAATTTACAATCAGTACCTTTGGTTTCAATTTCTTTGGCTCTGTCTGTTAAGTAAACTACTCAGAAGCCAGACTGATCGACTTCACGAATTAAAAGATAAATAATATCGTTGCACAACGCTGTCTCTTAAATTAAACTTTCGGATTTAACTAAAATCCTAAAGTGTGCAAAATTAACACATTCTAAAATACTGCTCTCTGTTTCCATTTCAATTACGTTACATATTTTTACATATCGAAATAAAAATGGCTTCTCTGTAATTCGTACGAATACTCCTAACGTTTAATTTTGAGAGCCGCGATCATTGAACGTTTGCAACTAGACTGAAAAATCTGTAAGAAAGATGCAGAGTCGATCAGGCTTGGCTTCCGAGAGGCTGAAATACCAATGAAAAAGTTACTTTCCGCGAAATATTAACAGAAGTGAAGTCAAAAAAAAGAAAAAAAAAGCAAGCGTGACGCATGATTAGCTCAGAGAAGAAAGAAGGGCGTAAAGCTGATACTCACTTGGTGAAGCCACCCCGCGTCGTCCGCTAGGTGCCAGGGTAGCTCTCCGTACCTCCGGCCGCGCACATAGACGCCTCTCCCCCTTTCTCGATACTTTCGAAACCCTTTTCTCTTTACGCACCTCTTCAACGTGTATCTCTCACTTGTCTCACTAGGACGTGCGTCCTATCTCTATCTACGTACGCCCGTATCACCTCTCGAATCGATACGTGGCTGGTTATCCGACGAGTCGAACAGTCGAACAGAATGTAACGTACGTTCGAACCAACGAGAGGAATACGATCGGTTAGTACACGAGATATACACGGGGCAGCCGAATGAATTCAAAGGGAACGAAAAATATCCCCCGGTACGGACGTAAGTGTTATCCCCGGTGTCCTCCGGCGAGGACGACGTGAACCGCGCCGCGTTGAAACGATCACTGGTTGATCCGCGTCGCTGCAACTATAGTATGTACCACGGAGTGGTACGGTACTATTCCACGGGTCTCTCGAGTCTCGGACTACTGGCTACTAATGGTACACGGGCGAAGAAAGAATATATCTCGAATCTCAAATCAGAGATAAAAACACTATTGTAACTAAGCTCTCACGTTTGGCTCTCTCTTTCTCTGTCTCTCTCTCTCTCTCTCTCCCCCTCTTTCTCTCTCGCTCGCTTTTCGAAGTTTCGGATCACACGTCTGCTTGAAGTTTATAATCGTACCACAGCCCCTAGAAGACGCGAAAGGAGCGTCTTGTCTTGTTTCTTTTTTTTTTTTTTCGTTTTTTCTTTCGTGTTTTTTTTCGTCGGAAAAATCGACGAGGAGGAAAGAGAGAGATCCAAGCGAACGAGCAACGTTCGAGGAGCTGGACGAAGCGTCCTTTCTGAGCTCCGGTGCACGACTGAGGCGCCCTCTCGCCCCGCCCAGAGGCGCAGCAGCGATCACGGCCGCGAGGTTCGACGGGACGTCGATCGATCCACCAACTGGCCCCACCACTCCGAGCCTGTGGTATGGCGAGAAGAAATCGCGCAACGCGCACGCGCGGGATTTTCGTCGAGATTTGCCTCGAGAATCGACTGGGGCACCCCGCGCGGGATCGAATTTGCCCGGTCGAGCATTTGAAATTTCCCTTGCCGCGAAGGGGGCGAAAAAAGAAAGAGGATGCTCTCCGAGACTTGAGCCTTGACTTGTTCAATTTCCGAATCTGAAAATTAATTATTTTTTTGTATCATCAGACTAGAAAATAATGGAAATTAAGCAGATTGATTAGAGGAGATTTCAATTATTTTCGTTTAAGAAATTAAAGGATTTTTTTTATATACTTGTATTTACCTGTACATAAAATGCGTTCCTTTCGCACCATTCATTAAGTTCCACTATTTTCCAGTTAGACGATGCCGAAAGTTTTAGACATGGATCGATAAGGTGCAGAAATGGAACACGATCGCGAAGAAATTGACGACGAACACTTTGACACTTGTTGGAAAGCTCATTGGTATCCAAGAGACGAAAATATGATGACTTTTAACCTTCTGACACGACCCACTATTGTTACTTGCACATTTCACGAAATATTTGATAAAACTCATTAATTGCAATACAGTGGTTCAAATAATAATTCATATTTCCCTCCGATTTTAACTCTTTCGCGTATAAGTTGCAAGTATAATTTTATCATGCATTATTGTAATGATTTCAAACTTTTTAGATGAAATTTAATTCAATTCTTATCCCGTCTCATATATTAAATAATATTTATATACATATTTGTTTTAAATAGTTTGTAACATAATAATATATAAGTAAATTTATAACATAATAATATATAAGTAAAAGCGATAAATTGCAGAAAAGTTATTTATTCAATGCATAAATGCATAAAAATCCGTATCTGCAAACACGACACTTCATGAATATGTTGTATTCTTGCAAGATACATACATTGCCTTCCTAAAAGATACATCAATATCTAGGCAAGAATAAACAGACTACATTTAACAAGGAAACCTCTAGGTACTGTAACAAATATATGTATTTTGCTAGAAGGCGGATGACATTTACGGTGCACAATATACTGGTTTAAAAGCCCGTGACGTACGTATCTAAAGACTTGATAAATACCTACAGAATTTTATAAAGCAACTTCGTGCCACAGAGCTCGGTCGACATCATTGAATTATCACAGACTCGTCTGTGGAACTATTATATCTTTACCCACGGTCGGATTAATTTTTTCACGAAGATTTTTGGCTGAAATTGAAAGAAAAAAAAGTTTGTTAGAAATATCAAAACAAGACGTTTCAAATAAAAATTATTCATATAGTTTTCTGTTGTTAATTAAATAATAAATATGGTGATCTATATTTATGCAGAGATAAATGTAATGAATTGTACAGATTCAGTGATTGTTTAAAATTTTGTAAATTGAACTTTGATCTTTCAGAGAGACAAAAATTGTCTGCAGGTTATGCATTCATGCAAAAATATTTTTCTGTATCAGTCAGTAAAATAATTTTAAACAATAAGATTTTTGTAATTTATCATTTCCATATTCTTTGAACTATAACATGATATAAACAACAATATGCAATGTTATTTTTGAAAAAATATTTACGTCTTGATCAACATGTGGTAACTCAACTATATTGACAATATCAAATATAGATAAAATAGAAATCTTTAATAAATTTACATAAAAATGAAATAACAGTAACAAAAAATAAAAATAGATTAAAAGCAATGTTAATGACGCTGTTTACATAAACATTAAATGTACAAGACATTATCTTCTATACTTCAATAATAATAAACTACCCAAACTCTATCAATGTTAATAATTTATTGCTAACAAAATAAAAAAAAAATCTATCAATATTGACTTATCATTAACAAAATATATTATTACAAACAGATAAAATAATAAAATCACTGTATATTAAAATAAGAATATATGTTGTATATATATAATAAAAATGTGAATCAATAAATTTCATAAATTTTATAAATTATACATAACTGACAAAAAAAAAAAAAAAAAAAGTAAAAAGTATCTTTTGTAACACTCGTTGCCAAAAGTGAGCGTAGAGAATTCCAGGGTTTTTGCTGCAATGAATGACAGAAACAGAATTCAACGAACAATGTCTCCAAATCATACTGTATTATTCGCAAGATACTCATGGCTCTCTACTTATAGTACAGAAAACGTTTAACACTAAAAATCGTCAAATTGTATTTTTCTTTTTTTCTTTTTTTTTTTTTCACAGGATTTCATACGGAATCTCAAACGAAATTCATTCGCTCTTTCTCTTTCACACATTCCAACGTGTTCCACCCTCTCTCTTTCTCTCAGACACTCGAATTCACTCGTCCTTACGGATTGAAATAGTCGTTATGCCTGCGTATATGTATGTAGAGCAGTACGAAAAAACATATTCGCAACAGAGAGGACACACGGAGATATGTGCGCCATATACATATACACACACATATAAAATTAATTAATAAATCTTCTTCCTTGAAATCTCACACGTACATTATTAATTCATTCAATATATTCGATTAATTCTTTCGTGTTTTTCTTCTTCTTCTTCTTCTTCTTCTTCTTCTATTTTCTTTCATTTATACACATATACACGTTTATATACCTTTTGCATGTGCGCATATATACACATGTATATACGTATTACGTATTATATAATATATACTATGTCGCATATAAAAAACAATTACTTATCGTAGAATACAAGATTGTTTCATACATACGTACATATATATGTATATATAGTATATGTATACACATACACACACACACACACACATATATATGTACGTATATTTTCTTATTTATTGATTTGTTTCATTTCTCCTTCTTGCTTCTTTTTCGTATTTTTTTAAATTAATCGACTGATTTCGTTTTGCATCTTTATCATCGTCGTTAATATTGTTATTACTTATATAATTATTTATTTAGCTTTCGTCGCAATCTTCTTGCTTTGTCTCCTGTTATTATTATTATATTTTTTTTTTCTTTGTTGTAAACCCTCGCAATCGTTCCCTCGTTCCATGGCCGAAAAAATTTTTTTCTTTTCTTTCCCTCAATAATTATTCTTTAATTTATTGACAACCCCAATGTTGAGGTCTTCCTTTTGCTTCCTACTTTCCAATTACTACAATACAAAGAAATTCAAGAGCAATTCCAAAATGATCAATCTCGAAGTCTTGAGAAATTAACAAGCTTCAGGCAACCTTTCAATATAAAATTTCGTCTTTGTCTAATCGATTAAATCCAACCGATGCAACGGGGAGAACCGCCATTTTAATTTGGATCTGTAAGTTCCACACATTAATACGCTAAGTATAAAAATTTTTCAATTCTTCCGCCAACGTAATCTAAAGCTAGCCGACTCTAACCGAAATTTCATTTTTCGTGTGATCAGCACGTTTCATTGAAAAATTTCCTTTTATTCGAGAAAGTTGTTTTTTTTTTTTTTTTTGAACCTGATCAAAATTTTCGAAAAGAAATGTTTTAGACAAATGAGTCGTTAGAGAGAAAAAAAGATAGAAATATAAAACACCGCACATTTTACAGCATTCTGTTTAATTGTATAACTTTTATTAATTCTCACTGTATAACTCCCATAATTTTCGATCGCTTACAATCACTGGTATAATTCTCCATTTCTTTCTATTGATTTCGTCGCTCGAGTTCAACACGCTTCTTTTCATTCTTTTTTTTTTTTCTGTTTTTGTCTTTTTTTTGTCGGTTTTTCTTTTTTACAAATTTTCTCTCGTAATCACATGATACTCCTTAATTATATATTATCACTAATACACGATTTATTTATTTATATCTTCTTTTTTTTTTCTTGTTCATTTTCTTTTTCGTTTATTCGATCGAATCTAGGACGAGTGAAATCGGAACGAAAATACTGAAGTCGATAAATCGGACAGTGCTGACAATCAATTTGAACAATATTAAAAACTTATAAGACAATTTAACAAAAAGAAAAAAGAGAAGTTGAATACCCAAAAAAAAAAAAAAAAAATTAAAATTAAAAGGATTATTGGTTCGTCGATAGTTGTTCCGTTGAAGAAATCAGACGGAACAGAATGATCGTCGAATATTGAATTGCGATTCTCGCGTCACGTCTAAACTTAATTTAGTAAACGAAAAGATAGTAATCGAAAGGAGAATATTCCTTTTATTTATATATATATATATATATTAATATATATTTATATATATATATATATATATATATTAATATATATGTGTATATTATTTCTCTTATTTTTTTTATTTTATTTTCTTCCTTTTCTTGTTTTTATTAAGAGCTAACAATTGATACAAAAATCGACTCGTTGATGATACGATTAGAAAGGCTATCGGGATAATCGACGAGGGATCAATTAATCGTACCGTAGTTGTACCGACGAGGCTCTTTTCTCGTTAATTTTCTCGATAAAAAAAAAAAAAAAAAAAAAAAAAAATTGACGCTGACGGTTGGTCAGCTGTTGATAGACAAAACGAAGAGTTAAAAAGATTTCAATCGCAGAAGAGAAATGAATGGGACAATGCACTAAGGTATAGAAAAAAAGAAATAAAATAAAATAAAATTCGTTTAAGAATATCGCGACATCTCCGATCGAAAGTTCCAAAGGAGCTAAAAAATTTTCATCATTTGAGAACCAGAGACGGAAATTTTGAAAAATAATAATAATCAAATCCGTGTGAATCGCGTGAAAAAACAGAAAGAACGAACGTGATGGTTGAGCTGAACGATGAACTGAAAAAAAAANAAAAAAAAAGGGAAAATCGAACGAATGACGTTAGAAACCCACTTGATGAGAATTATTCGTCTGTGGTCGAAATTAGGCGAAAATACGAAAGCACGTCCCCGCTGCGACTCGGAAGCAATTTCGATTGAGAAACGAGGGAACAACCTCGGAATGATGGTGAGTTAAACAGGGCTAGAAGAAAAAAAAAAAAAGAAAAAAAAAGAAAAAATAGAAAAGATGAGGAAACGAGAAAAGGTCCGTCTTGGCAGGTGTTTAATCGTCATCCTCGCACTTTATTCGCATCGTCGTTCTCAAGCTTGTCCACCATCCTCGATCGTCGACCTCTCCCCACGTTCAAAATTACCTTAATTACACGTAGTCGGGGCAATCTCGTTTCCAGCCTCCGGTGTCATCGTTGCATCCTTATGTTTCTTTCACTATATATCAGCGCCATCTACGGCTTCGTTCGTCTTGCAAGCTCCCGACTTCGAAAATTCTATCTTATTTCCTTCTCGAAACTCGTACTCGTGCGTCATCGTTCTTCACGTCATCCTTTCCCTCTTCTTCCTCGCATGTGTGCACGTCAGTTCGTCAAAACTAGTTTTCTTGCTCGAACTCTGGAAAACTGCAATCAATGTTCATCATTCTTCGAGCGATGATTCTCGTTAGCAATCATCCTCGTTCTCGTCCACGTTGCCGTAACATTGTGTGTACTTTTTTTTTCTTTTTTTTTTCTTTTTTTTCTTTTTTTCTTTTTTGGTGGTGGGTCTCGCGCGTGTGTGTTACATTAGACGCTTATGTGTCGGGTAGATGTGTGAGATCAAGCCAGAGAGCCAATTGTCGGACTCTAGCTGAAGAGGTACGTGATGTCGCGAAGTTGTTGCTGCAAAAATATTATCTGCTCCACGTTCTGTCTCCACATCCTAGAACAAAGAGGATCGCTGTATCAGCGCGCGTCTCTGACACGATTTTTAATTACGGTTTTTCGATCCTTTTGAGCATGAATATATATATATAATTTTTTACATACTTATGTATTTAAAATTGTTCGTAATTTTTCGACATTAGAGCAAGGTATTTTATAATTTTGGAAAAATGCGGCGACAACTAGAGTGCGAATATGCTCGTGCAATTCTGATTTTTCAAAAAAAATGGCAACTAGTTTATTCTGAGTATGATAAAAAGATCTATGATGCGAACACAGGAGATGTCTGTGAAGGCAAAAGTGAATTTTATGAGAGATATTTTTAAGAATCTTTATGGTTGATATAAATATTGACAATAAAGTATTATTGTTAAGTATTAATGATCGTTTAAAACTATCATTCGTCTCTAAAAATTCTCACCTTCATACGCATACATACACATTTATATAGATACTTAATTATAGTTTTTAACATTCTCCTATCTATTCATGCTACACATTTTTTATGAAAAAATTCATACAGTTTAAAAATATTTGTATTCCTTAATTAACGATAACAATTATTTAACTTCTTCCTTTTTTTTTTTATTTTTTCATTTATTTGCTTAAAGTTTTATTTAAAAAATTTTCATTCTATTAACGCACGTTTTTGGCAAATGCGCGCGAACACATTTGATTGCGACACAGCGCCGATTTGAATAGTGCGCATCGGGATTTAAATTCATGGTTTTTAATTATATCTTACGTATCAAGATTCACATTATAAAATTGTACAAAATTTTATATAGATTCTGGTCGAAACAATTTACAACGATGTATTTACAACAATATTTTCATAATTGCAATTGCTTTTTTTTTTTTTTTTTAATTAAATCTTAATTGAAAATAGTTTTAGTCGATGACACAGACAAATATAACAAAAAAGCAAAATCAAAATTTAAAAAAATTTTTTAAATCTCTTCCAGCATGGGGAATTCTTATAATTATATTTTTTAAGCTCGGAACAATTGTAATTTCAATTAATAAAGAATTTGGCTTAGTATTTTCGTTTACTTTAAATAACATTCTTATACATGTTTCAAAAAGTCATAATAATGATAAATAAATGTAATGACTGAAACATTAAAAAAATTAATCGAGCTTAAAACTAAATCGCTAAAGTATATTTCAAGCTATCTTTTACAATGAGTATTGCGAAAATTACAATAAAAAATTATACAATAACATATAGATAAAATTTTGAAGAAAGTCTTCACAACTTTATATATATATATATATTATATATATTTTATATATATATATTATATATATTATATATATTATATATTATATATTATATATATATAATATTATATATATATAAAATTAACATTTAATCTTAATTATAATCAAAAATTTAAAAAAAATATTAATGTTTAATTTCGAAAATATGCGCAAACGTAACAACACAAAACCCATTTGTTAATATTGAATATAATCTCTTGTATCTACAATTTGAAAATAATTTCTCACAATATGAATATTTATTAGTACAATTCCATCCAAGAAACAAAATTCATTGAGTACTTAAACTCACAAAATTATGTATATTCAATTATATTATCGCAGATACAAGGGCACAAAACTCGAACTCACAACACCTGTATTAATTTCTTAATTTCTAATTACAGCACCATTTGTGAAGAAACAGTGGAAAAAGAAGAAAAAAATATTATAATTTTGACTTTCTTAACGCATAAGAAAACACAAAGCGATCTTGCAAAAAAGTGATTTCAACGGAACGGTGTTGCGTTGTGGAATCTTGTATAATTTTAGAAAACTATATATAAAGTCGAATATATGTAACAATTACATGAAAAAGATGTTAATAGCTAGTTTACAAAAATGATCTCAACTAAAGAGCCATGCACTCTCTTATTCTCTTTACAAGATGTGTGTATAATAAATGTTCATAAATTATATATGAATGGTTAAACGAGTCGCTATCTACATCGGAGGTAAAAAATGTACAAAGATGCGAAAAACGTTCCTGTCAAGATACCAGGGATAATTGATACACATCAAGTTGGCAAAATTTTCGAAAAACCATCACCCTCCATAAAAATAGTACGATTTACAATGTGCCTCTTCTCATTCATATTTGATAATAACAGTATCTCAATCACAACAACATAAGTATGTATATTGTACACTATCGACAACGTTATTGTCGTTCAGAAATTGGGAACAACATTGACAATTCTTCAATCACTTAATTGCAAAACGTAAAAAACGATTCTTCGCAAAAAGAAAACAAGAAATAGTTTTCTACTGGGAGAGAACAAATAATGATAACACAGATAAGAGCCGATTTTTCGAATGGTAAAACGAAGATCAAAATTCTTTCCTCAATTCATGGATGACGGACTTTCAGTGAAAGTAGACAAAGTTAATAAAATCGTGGTCGTTTGAACAGGCCACGACGTATAATCCTCTTTTTATCTCAAAAGTAGTAACTTACTAATTTAAAAATGTAGAACGATCCTTTCTCTCTTTCTCTCTCTCACTCACTCACTCACTCACTCACTCTCTCTCTCTCTCTCTTTCTCTCTCTCTCTCTCTCTTTCTCTCTCTCTCTCTCTCTCTCTCTCTCTCTCTTTCGTTCTCCTTGTTGGTACAGAACTATAACTATAAACCGTGATTATATTACAGGGCGATTTTTGTCATTTGTATCAACTATCCCCAGCTTTTTCTAATCGATGCGTAATTTACGTGTAAGAGAGTTACTAACCAAACTCGAGTCGGCAGAAGAAGCAGACGTGGCAGCAGGGGTAGGCACCGTCAATATTGAATGATATTATCTACGACCGCGAAGCCGCATGCTCCAAGACCAGCGTGAGACATTAACCGTACCAATTCTCTTGCATGAGAGGTGGCCACTTCCAACGGTGGCCGTCGTGGCAAATTACTCGATTCTAGAAGTATCGAACGATCGACATTGACACAAGTAGAAGAACAAAACGCAGGCTACTTTCAAATTATAGTTTAATTGAGTGAGAATTTTTTTATAAATTTATCAAGCAGTTTCTGTTTTTTACTTGTTTATGTAGTTGCAATTGTAATTACTGTTTACCAAAGATTATTTAATGAGATATTTAAGAGTTCAATTACTGATCATTCGAATGTATACATTGTATGTGTATTAAAAATAAAAACCACAGAAATCTTACCGAGTATGGCAGAATTAAGTCTCGCACAAACGGTCTCCCTCTGTTGAGGATCGAGTTGCCAACCTACCGGTGAATTCCATGGATTTGCATATGCTAGAAGACTGAACGCATCTTGAAGCATCTTTTTATTGCTTTCGTTCTTTCCGTGTTGTTGTCGCAGATGTATCGACTGAGAATATAACTGCCTCCCGAATTCCAACATCTTCTCGATTGCCTGCTTATCCCCGCCGCAAAGCTGTTTCTTGTTATTCCTATTCGATGTGTTCTCCATATTGCAATTACCGTTCTGTTGTTGCTGAATTTGATTGACATTGTTGGTCTCTGGGAACAGATTGATATTCATTTTAGAAGACAGTTTAAAATTAAAAATTAATAAGCACATAATAATAATAATAATAATACGTAAACAATAATAAATAAATTCCTTGCTTAACGTAATGCGATTAAGCGAGTAAGAACAACACAACAACGTCTCACCCATGTCGACATCTTCCCCGTTCTGACATTTATACCCGTTGGTACTCAAGTCACCGTTTTGATAACTGTTTTCGGTATTACTTTTCATGCCGTTTATAACATTCTCTTCCATATCTACATCGTTTTCAAGTTGTCCATTAACCAATTGCTGTTCGGTGGAACCATTCATGGCGTTGTTCATGTTCATCTCCTCGACGTTGCCGTTTGCTGAAGATTTGGTGTAAGCCTTCGTAGATTGTATAACACTAGTTTGATTGACATTGGAATTTTGAGTGATTTCGGAATCACTACCGTTCACCATTTCAACGAATTGTCGACATTTGAGGGCGAAGAGAAGATTGGGATCCCGTTCCAGAAGACCTGGATACAGTCGACTGGTTAACTCTATTGCTTCTCCCATTCTACCCGCCAGTACCAACTTTAGAATTTCTAAAACATATTATACATATTATACGTTTTTTTTTTATGTTAAATTACTACTTTTTTAAAAACAATTTTTTAAATATAATCTTTTTGTAACTGTATTGCTATTATTTAAGAATGTTGAGAGATATTATTTACTTTGTCTATTTTTAATGGAATTAAGATCTTCTTCAAATCCTTGACCAGTACTATTGGCAAATGCTTCGGCAGTGGCACAGTATCCGTGATGGACCAAATATGTTGACACCATTCTGAAAAAGAAACGAACAAAAATTTCTAAAACTCAGTAATTTTTCTATTTGAATTTTGCTATTTTAAAAAATTTGAATGGTATAGTAAGGTTTTTTTGGATCACATATTAAAAAAAAAAAAAAAAAAGAAGGAAAGAAAGAAGAATTATATTGTTAATTTTCGACGCGTACATTAGAATTTTTAACGCGCACATATCATTATGCGGTAGAATGCAAGGTCATTAGACATAATAGAAAACGCGTGGCTTCCTTAATCTTTTGTTTCATTACACAAGATTGTGCATGCAGTTAAATTTATTAAATTTTTAATCACGTGCTATGAGTTTAGTTCTGATCAATTGGAGAACAATGAGAGTTAGCTTGCATATTCATGAAAATAATAACTGCATTATTAATAATAATCAAAATAATTAATTCTGAATGTATATTATTCATTTACAAATATGAATATGCGAAAATACAATTTCTATGTAGGTTACTTTTTATATTTATAACTGTAAAGGAAAAATGAAACAAAGAAATCCAACTCACTTGTGAAGGACTGCTTGCCACTGACCCTGACCGTGATCTGGCGTGGGATAGTTTATAATTTGCAATCTTGTTTTAACCCGAAGTTCGTTAAGCATGTCGTCGATATCAAAAACAAATGGTTCCTGTCCAAAGTTTGCATCAACTACCTCCCCTGGCGTTTGAAGACCCACAGTTGGATATAAATTTGGCTGTAAAATAGACAATGAATAATGAATAATACGTCGCTATTTCAGATTTTAGATCTTCATTCAGATGAATAAATTAAAAATAATTTAATTTAACTAGCTTCATTTTTACTCTAGCATAGTTCAAATATAAGTAATAAAATCAATAATCTAATTTATTTTTATTACTTTACGACTTTACAGAACAATCCTAAATTTAATGAACTTAATGTTTAACACAAGATCCTATCAAGTCATTTCTTTGTTACAAAAAATAATGTATATTTTATTGTGATTTGAATTAATTGGGAAAAACCTTCTCCATAACAGTTTAATTAGATGTAGTTAATATAATTACAGATACATGTCTGCAGTCTACTTACGAATAATTATGTAATATAATCTTTCTCTCTTCGATTTTTGCACAATACTAACCGGAAGATCAGTGAAGGCAATACCAAGATGATGTCCATTTTTCGTATAGAAGGCAGTGTTGTCGACAAGATTTACACCACATCCAATTACATCTCCTGTGGTGAATGTGGGCCCATAAGGTTGTCCTGTTCCAGAAGAACAGAAACTATGCCCATCATCTCCGTGATACCCATAGGAGTGTTTGTCCCAGCCTGGCAACCTGTTCACATTCACTCCATGGGCAGACAGGCCAATTCCCATGTAACCATCTCTGCCTTTACTAACGATCTTCACTTCAAAATAATAGAGACCACAAGCTGCTGGTATGCAATGTGTTGTACGGACACTCGCAGCATCTTTGTGAGTTTTTCCATAACCTGAAACAATACACTCTTGTTAATAAATAATAATTTCTATATAATTAATGGTCGATATTAATTATTTCATGTACAAAAATTATATCAAAAGAAATAATATTTTGATAAAAATTAATAATTTGTAAATTTCTCTTTAAATATTTAAATTCTCTTGTAAACAAAAAGAAATCAAACTATTCTTTGCCATTGTCGCATTTGTTATATAAAAAAATCTTTCAGAAAACAATTTGAATATTATTACAATTTTCTAAATAATAAAATATAAATTATCGTAAAGTTATAATTATAGTTGAATTAGTAATATAATAAATTAACAATAAGATATAATTATATAAGATAACAATAAAGGCCTCTAAAAGTTATTTATCAAAGTATGTTCAACATAATAGTGCAGAATTATTGTTTTCTTTTGTGCTTCTCTTAAGTTCAGAGAATGCGAACTACAGCGGAAAACTGAAGGGTACGAAATTCGAGAACAGAAGTGATCGTCCGTCACAATCTAATCGCTAATCTTGGATGCACTTGCAATGCAGTGATGCAGTTTGTCGACCTAGTAACCTACAGTTGCCCATTTCACATTTAATTAAGTACAAAAGAATTATTAACACGCCTTGCAAAATGTTACAATAGATTCTATGTATGTAACTAGAACCTTTTGGTTTGGTCGTTTTAAGCCATAATAATCGGGCATCAATTATGCAAATATAGTTGATGTAACAAATTAACTTACAGAACACACGGATAATAAACAGATACATTCTGATTTACTCAATCGACAATCCATATATTTGCGAATAGCTAACTGAACATGTCGAATAAAATTGAATTAACAATTTGATGGTAATGTTACAGAATTCAATAATATAACGAACAAAGGCATTAAAATTTTATTTTTATTTTTTTTATATTTTGTATTTTATAGGAGACTAATTCAAATAAAAAAGTGTATCCAAAGAATATCTAAGAAAATTTTAGAGAAAATATTCAATTGCTAATAATACTTTAAATAATTATTTTTAATTTAACTATAAAAATACAATAGAACATTATCTATATGTGCGTAGATTTAGTATAACCTTACTACATTCTTTTTAACAGAACAAAAATGGCAAAGACTCAAGATTATTACATTTTATTCTTCTTTAAATATGTTTGTACTGTTATCCTCATAGTATTTACATATGAAAGATAAATATAAAATTGCAGCAGTGAATAATTGTTGAAAAAAATACACACTAAACTTCAGTTTCAATTTATTGTTAAAGTTAACTCCAAAATGCAGATAATAGATTTCAATTTGTGAATATTTCCAAAATTATCATAAATGTACAACATTTATATTAATTTACTAATACAAACAATGGAACTGTAAAATATTTTATTATATACAATGATACACCTTCTGCAATCAATATTTACTACGTATCTTTCAATATACAAGAATATTCATCTCATTAGTATCAAATTAAATGAGCTGGTACAACATAATTTTTACCCAAAAGAAGAAAATGTGCTTAAGATTTAAAATTTTCATATTAACTTTTCAACTACAAGATACAAAATATAATAATAACAATTTTATTCATTTAAAACTGTTACTTTTGATCAATAATCAGTAAATTAAATGATCATCTGATACATTTCAATTAGATAAAAGTACAACGCAATTCTTAAGTTCCTTCTTATTCAAAGAGAGGATTATTGTTCGGACTTTTAACGATATCTTTTCAAACGCAAATTGAACGTCCGCACGTCTCACTTTTAATTTGAAAATCAGGACGTAACAATAAACACGGTTCTTATCGCTCATCGATATTTACATGGATTTATTCAACGTCTACATAAATACATAATACACGAATAATAGCAATGTTAGAGAATAAGTGAAAAAAAATATTTGTCCACCACGAAACTGAAAGACGAGACCGGAGGGGGGAAGCAGCAGGAGCGAAGAAGAGCTCACAAACGAGCGTGTAAGAGAGAGAGACATATATGGAAGCTGTGGGTGAGAAGGAGACAGAAATGTAACTGTTCACACATCGCAGCTGTCATTGCCATTGCGCCTTCTCTACGCAGATCCATTTTTTCCACGAATATCCGTGAAAAATTGTTGCCAGAGGCCCGACACACAGGTTCACGAGGGATCCCGATCGATTTCCAACTGCCCGAACGGGGCATTTGGCAAACGATCAAGGAAAATAACCGAACGATCGAGAGAAAGTCGAATAGAGACCATGACCGATCAGCTGATTCCTTTGTTTAGGTCGCTGACACACGCGAAACGGAGCCCTGCCATTTTCAATCGATATTACAGCTCCGTCAAACGATTCGTCCGTATCGAGCAAGAATCGAATCCTATTGGCCGGGATCGTACCTCGATCCTTCGTTACGGGTAACGTTAAAAAATCATCCGCGAGAATTCTCTGGGCAACAGCAGAACAAAATCGTGAGAGAGATACGAAAAGCACTGGGAACGAAAAACGTACCTTTGTAGTGAACACGAAGATTGTTTTGGGAGAGGCCGATGTAATTGTACTTGTCCTTGGGGCTCCACGAGCGTGGCAGCGGCGTTTCCTCTTCGTTTACCATCGGATAAAGCATCTTTAGCGGATCGACGGATTGACTTTGCCCAGAATTCGTCTGAGAAGGCTCCATAACACTCGGTTCCTCGCTGGTGGCGGCCATCTTTCTCCTGGGCAGCCCCACTACTTTCGCCAGTGGACTCTGCTTAACTGACTGCGCAGGGCTCCTGCGCAACTCAACTTTACCTTCGAGTTCATAAAAGTTGTGGTACACAGATAGTAAACCACCCTGTTGAAATTTTAAATATGAAACCGTGCTGACATCTGTCATGTTATTTTGACATTATTAGTGATATATTGACATTACTAAAAATATATATTTTTGAATGTAAGTAATGAATGAAAAAGATATTATGGACATTTTAAAAATGGTAATGGACATGATGAGAAATATATGAAATTTTAATATTGGACGAGAGCAGGTTTAATTTTTATACTGTTGTTGCGATTTATATAATATATATATGTATATTTTTATATGCTTATTTATGCCTTAATTATTAACAAACAATATGTATTTAAATATTGCAAAGTTAAAATGTTTAAAAGTGAATTCTTTATAAAATAAAGTAATCTTCCTTATTGTATGTAAGGAGTGAAAAACACTATCCCTCTTAAATCACTAAGTTAACTTCTAAATAAACGTGAATTATCAATAAATGAAAATAAATATCCTATTACCACGGTTACAAGGGTTAACAATGTTTATTAGGGGAAACCATGAAGAATAAATTGGGTATGTTTGTGGTTCACCGGTTTCGTTAAATATAGCATGTGCGGTGTCAGTATATTGGCCGTTCTCGTGGGATTGAGTTTTGCTCCAAATTTTGCTTTTAATTTGCAGAATTTATATTTATTTCAGATGTCCACTATGTTTAAAAGAAGACTTCAAGCTCTTGGATATTTGGAATGGAAGAAAGTTAATATAAACGGTTCGTTCTCGCATGTCTGCGCGGTATTGCAGTAACAAGGAATTCTAACATATTGATATTATTATTAGCAAGATCTAGTATAGTATTTGTTAAACGATAAATTCAGGAATATATTTATCATTCTCGAAACGTTCCACACTCGAAACATTGCTCACGTTGAATAAATCCTTCTATTATCGATGTTAAATAACCGTGTCGTTATAGGTTATAATGTTCGACATTACGCGATGAAAAAACATTGTCTTTACTCTCGCAGAGAGTAAATCTCGTACGAGATTGCAACTTATAAAAGGTTTAATTTTTCTGTCTGTTGCAGATCCACAACATTTTCGTAAAGTAGTACTTTGGTTAGAGGATCAAAAGATACGCCAATATGATATACAAGATAGAAAGGATTTACGCAATATAAAAAGCGAATATTGGCCTAAAGCTTTCGCTAAATACTGTATGGATGTTCAATGTCCAATATTTGACAACGATGTAGATCAGCTTGAATGGCTGATTGGCTGTGCAATCTGGTTGGAAACAGACAACGATAGTAAATATTTTTTAACGAATGGAATTAAAGATTTAATATACTATTATTTAAACTCTGTAGCTCAGTTTGTATTTATAATTAAGTATAAACTAATAATACATTATTACAAGTAACTTTATATGAAAATGACAATTCAGTTGTGTGTTTCAGCTGAGAAATATTCACAGAATATAAAAGAAATGAAATTGAAAATGAAACAAGAAGCATTAGTGCCTCGTCTTAAATCCAAAAATCCACTCGATAATTTGGACTGTAAGTCATGAAACAGATTATGTTTCGTTTCGATAATTTTTTCATCTATGCTTCTATTTTTGTAAAAACGCTATTTTTATCATTTTATGTGATCATCAGTTGAGAATAACCAGTTTCAAGAAGGAGTTTACTCTGTGGCAAAGCTGCTCCGAATCCCGCAACATCCGAATCATTTGGTTACATTAAAAGCCTGCAGTAAACTAGTACAAAGGAGATTAAATTCTGAGTGCCTAAGGAATCCAAATTCTAAAATTGTTCGAGGCAAACCGTTTCCTATTATGAACTGTGATCCTGGCTTCCAATTAAAGAAGACAGCAGTGGAAAATGCAGCTAAAATCCTTGCTCTCCTTTACATTCAAGATATTAGGAATCTCCAAACAAAAATCAATGAAGTGATCGTCCGTGTACAGAATATTACAGCTAATCCTAAGACAGACACCAAGTTGGGGAAAGTTGGAAAATAAGGAACTACTTAATGCATCAATAAAGGCCTTTTGATCTTCTATGATACTCCACGATGTACCTCAGATATGATAAACACATTAAACACCAAGTTTCTCTACTCAAAACTTCGAAAATATATTATTTATTTATTTTAATTCTTTTATTTATTAAAATTATTGCGAAAATTATTTTTGTTTATGTACGTACTATAATTTTTGTAGAGTATTTCAATCAAAATATTTCAATTATTTTATTGCAAAGCCTTTGCATCATGGTGATATTTAAATGCTATATGAACGAAATAAAAATCAAATTAATACGAAAGAAAAGCAATCATAAGAAATAATAACAAATACTAGATTTTGTTATAATATAAACTTTTTGTAAAAAAAAATAAACTGTTTAACAAATAAATATATAAAACAACTTAGTTTAGTAATTTTATCTAATAGTAGCGTAAGATTTAGGATTAAAATGATATTCCTTTTTTATACTTTATACATTTTGGTTTTGTATGTTTTTATAAATGAAAAGATTAATTTATTAGGAAAAAATTCTAATTGACAATATTTATTAAATAGGAAATTATAATACTCAATAATCTTTAAGTATATATTTATAAAGCTGAGTAATAAAATCTTTCAACATCGCTATTTTTATGTTTTTTTTCTGATATTCTACTGGGATGGAATACGATATTCAAATTTAAGAATAAGATTAAAAATATAAATAATAAATTGTATATTTTGCATTTTTTTAATAAATATACAAGAATGTCATAGATTTCTTTTTTAAACAATTAAAATCTAAATTGTCTTAAATTATATTTAAGAGTATAGATGCAAATTTTACATTTATAAAATGCAATCGTCTTTAAATCGTCAAAGTAGATATGATGTTTCAAGTGAATATCGTGTGACCTAGGTTAAATTTTCCATCAATGGCTTTTTCTCATTGTTACTGTTTATAATCTCGTTATTTGCAATAGTACCTATGGTGCAAAATTTAACCCTTTTAAAATCGATATTTTTATATTTATAGGATATTATATTTTTTTAAAATCGTAAGACTCCCTCGATGGCAGTTACACAATGCTAATCATTATTAGTTCAACAGATTATGCTTTATATGAAATTTTAAATATATTAAGATAGTATTAGATCGATTAAATAAATTAAAAATTTCGTTAGAGAAGTAATAATATAAACAGAATATTTACTCGACTTTAGATTTCTTTAGATTTACCTAATATTAAGGCACTCTTTTTCGAGGCTGCCTTTTGATATTCTTCTTAAAATTATGTTTATTCGGCACGTAATGTTGCTAACGATCACTATAAAATTAAAACAATCTTATTATAATATGAATATTGTGCAATATGTCAAGTCGTAATTAATATCATATGTATATATTTGTACGAAAAGTATAGTTGTAATAGTCCATATAAAGAATGTCCCATTTTAATCTTTCAAGATAAATTTATTGACTTATGACATGTTAGTCATTCCAGATTACTTAGTATAATTCGTTGATTTATTTGCAAACATGTCATTAGAAGATGGAAATTGTCATTTAGTATAATTTTTCATTTTGAATGTAGAAACTAAAGGACATTTCTTAAATATCCATTAGAAGGAGAATCATACTCCATATTCACTAGATGGAGAACAACTACAAATAATCTTAGATAGGAAAATAAAGGTATTATCCCCTTATTTTCATGTAATTAGCAAGATGTATGTTAATCCAATTCAATTTTTAAATATTAGATGTAGTTTAAGGAATTTTTAAAAGTATGTAATGTGTAGTGTATGTTAGAAATTTTCTTTAAATAGGGGAATGGAAAGTTTAAGTTAATTTATAAATAGTCATTAGATTGCTTTTTATCGGAAATAGATGAAAATCTCTGAAAGATATAACAATTTTCCTACGGTTATGCAGCCGGAGAACATATCTTAAAGCAACTATAAAAATTTGTAGAATTAAAATCTATGAAAGTCTACACCTAACTCTGTTACCAGAAGGTACAGCTTCAAGCGTTTGTCTAGTAGTGCTTGCCTCTTGCATCGAAGCTTGGAGTGCTCTTGCAAGTGCTTCGTCTTCACTCACACTGCCTTGATAATTCTTAAAGATTTCGCCGTTTCTTCTATTTACTTTTATATTATTTTCTAGAGCATCGAGTCTTTTTCTTCGTGTCGTCTCCTCCTGGCCTCGACACGCGTGATCTGTCGGATGTCTGTGCTTCAAACAGAAATTTTTACCGCAATCAGAACAATTCACTTGCACTATTTCTTTGATTTTACAACCTTTTGAGGAGCATCTAAAATGAAAAAAATTATTTATGATGAAAACAAATTCAATGCTCTGTATATACTATGTATATCAACGCTTCTTTGAGAAGATATCTTTTTCAAATACCAGGATAAAATTTCATCTAAAGAAAACAGCTTATTTTACCTGTTAGAAAAAATTTTCTGATTAGGTTTCTTTAACTCTGATTGACATTCATTGTCCATGTGTTGCCCAACTGCAATATCTGGAGGATCACCACGTTTCACAGGCACTGGAGCATTACAAAGAGGACATACTGGAACTTGAATGTCTTTCTTGTAAGCACTTGGACAGCTATGGTAATTGTACGATATGTGTTCAGAGCAAAAGATTGCAGAACAAGCATCACACTTGAGGGGTAAAAAATCCAATCGGTTGCAACTATTTTCTGAACAATGTTCTCCTAAGTTTGGAAATTCCATCTTTGATAGAAAATATCTGCAATGAAATTATTACATCAAAAATGAAATATTAATGTGTAATTAACATTTTTGTATTTCTTATAAACTGTCTAACTTTATTCATACTAATCCTAACAAAAAACAAGTGAAAGTGTTATTGTTAACAATACTGATAACACAGATAATAAAAATTAAAGATTTAAATAAATATAAAAATGAAGTATTTTAATCATTTGAATTTGTATTTACAAAATAAAATGAATTGATAGCACTAATAAATATTAAGTGAAATAATGTTAATGATAATAATAGTGCTTATGCTTATGCTAAAATACAGAAATACAGAAATTCAATAAGTTAAAAAGTTTTTAAAATCTAGGTCAAAACATGCATTCGATAGACCAATTTGATTTTCAAAGCCATTCTTTTGTTAAATACAGCTCTACATGTGAAATCTTATTTTGCATTTTAGACTTATTACTTTCATAAAAAATTAATGTAATTGTACTATCTTTGCTGTGTCATACTTGTATGCCACAGTTACAAGTAGATTATAACCTCTAAAACCACGTCATGCTTCTTCAAACGTCTAAACTTAAAAAAAAATTAGCAAATAAAAAATTATAAACATGAAATTACTCGACGGAATGAAATATAAAAGGATGTGTATGACAAGAATAATAAAATAGTTTTATGCAAATACATACCTCAAGTGATGTTCTAAGTAAATAGGTTACAATTCCTTCATATAAAAGTTAATTAACATTTCATTGTTAATATGTATCACAGCAAAATAAATGCCACTTTGAGTAATTCAATCTTTCGTTATAGCGTTCAAAAATTCGTAAAATTGAAAGAAAAATTAGTATTACTCCGAAAAGAAAAGAGCATAAACTTTCTTTTAACTGTAAAACTCAGGACGCAGAACTTTCTGAAACTAATTGACTTTTACAATTTGAAGCGAATATAAAGCGCGTAAACTTATGAAACGGACGGAATAATCGCGTCATTCGAGGAATAACGCGGATTAAGCATGACGTTGCTTTTGAGCAAATCGGACGTGGCGTCTCGACCCACACCGATTAGATACTACGATTCAGAAATAAATTGTACAATATAATTTTGTGAAAATTGCTATGATCTTCAATTGATCTTCAAATTCTGTACTTTATTTTAATTTTTTGTTTATAAATAAGTACTTAAATTACTTTAAATATAATTTTTCAACAGTCGAAATTTTAATTCTCGAATATTTGAATGTTCGAGAATATGATTATCAAATACCGTAAAAACCAAGCAAATGGGCGAACGAATTAATTTGTAAAATACATATTCTTTACAATAGCAAAACATTCTTGATTCTAACGAAGGAAGTAACATTTATTGTGTACGTCTAGTTTTGTACACGAATACGAAGTTTGAATTTTCGCGCAGTTTGAGAACGAGACCGTTCGATTCCCACATTCCAGCGATTTGAAACGAACGGAATATGGAGCGCGCTCTCGGCGATTTACAATCATAAACTTGAGTTTGCTTTGTACTTATCACTGGAGCATGGTTTTATTATGATTTTTGAGCGCCAGGTGGCCGCGTTTTTGTTGCCTGTTTGTCGAATAGTGCGGGTCTCAGCGCCATTACATCGATTAATGTCAGTGGTACCGCGCGTCCAGCGATAACTAATCTCGCTTGTGGCAACTAAATTCGAAATAGAGAAGGATCCGGTCGGCATGTCGACTAAACGTAAAATCCCGGCGACGAAGAAGAACCGCGCGAAACAGAGGAAAGTCGAATACGACGAGGAGGATATCTCGAGCGAGCACGACTCGGACGTTGATGACGCTGAGACCGGCTCGAATGCTGATGGCGAGGACGCCGCCGAAGATGATCTTACCGATGTCTCTAACATCCCGGAATTACCACCACCCGAGGTGAAATTACTTTCGTCGCTTTTCACGCGCTCCCTTCGTCCCAGGCGGAAAGAATATCGAGGTCTAAACGGGCATGAAAAACGTTGCCATTCCGACGCTTGATGGGACCTTATAACCCATGTGTTTAACGAACCGATAAAAGAATTTTGTTTCGTAAGAGGAGAAGATCGTTTTGTCAAATTTTTAGAATCGGTCGATAACATTATAAGAAATCGTATACCAAAGTTCTAGATCTATGATTTTTACAACCGAGTAATTAGATCCTCATTGATAAACTGTAAAATAACAGGACTTGAGCTTTAAAGTCTTTTTCTCAATTTTGGCCCTTGAATTGGATAAAATCACATATATATGTATATACCCAGTTTTACCTAGTTCAAGGACCAAAATTGGGAAAAGGATCTTCAAAGCTTAAGTCCTGTCATTTTATAGTTCATCAATGAGGAATATAGTATACATCTAGATATATATACTACATAATATTGTCTATGATTTGAAGTAACAAGTTGTGTTCAGATATTTTCGTGACCTAGGATACGAAAATTGAAACCAAAAAGTTTGTTGAATGGCTATTGTTTCACATTTGATACATTATTTACGATTTTCCAATTGTTCCAGGGAGGATGGGGTAAGCCTGGAACGTTGCTCATGTGTGGCTTGACAAACTGGGACATGGCAGGCCGCAAGGCTCCACCAAAAGGGGTGAAAGCCAATGTAGGACGTAGTCTGTGGACCCCACATACGTTCAAAAACTTGAATAGTGCTAGGATCAGATTAGTTGCTTCTGGTCCAGCTGCTTCTCATAGTATTATTGTTACTGAGGATAATAGATGCTTAGCTTTTGGTAGAAATGATAAAGGTAAATGAATGAAAGGTAAACAAAACTTATCTTACAATTAAAATAGTACTCTGTAAGTAAATGTAACTCACGTACAATCGAAGGCACGCAAGATTTGTTGAGTCGTATTATTTCTGTTGGTACTGGACTAGCAAATGTATCTGATTTGATACAATTTTCCTGATCGTGTGTATGTGCACGTGTATAAATATTTTACAGTGAATTGTTCAGCTATTGTTCAGCGACGTGAATTTTGCAGGTCAGCTGGGCGTTGGCGATACGAAACGTCGGGATGAACCTACGGAAGTTACAGCGCTGAAAGGTCATACTGTTATAGGAGCCTCTTGCGGCCGTAATCACACGTTATTTTTAACAAGCCGCGGTATCGTATTCGCAGCTGGAGACAATAAATTAGGCCAATGCGGTGTCGGGAAATCCGACGCCTGCATTGTCTCTGCCACTAAAGTCAAGTATTCTGGCCCGCCGATAGTGAAAGTAGGATGCGGCGCAGACTTTTCAATGATCCTGGACATTAAAGGCGGTCTGCACTCGTTTGGAAGTCCAGAGTACGGTGCACTTGGTCATAACACAGACGGGAAATATTTTATAACGAACACGAAAATGGCATTTCACTTTGAGAAAGTGCCTAAGAGAATCGTTTTGTATATTGAGAGAGCAAAGGACGGCCATGTCACGCCGTTAGATCGTGTTGAGATCACGGACTTTAGTTGCGGGCACTATCACACCGTAGCGATCGATAGCAAAAATCGTGCGTTCTCCTGGGGATTCGGAGGTATCGGTCGTTTAGGTCACAATGAACAACGAGATGAATTAGTGCCTCGTCTAATAAAGTTTTTGGAACCTCCTACTCGTGGCGTCAGAGCTGTATATTGTGGCAGTACTTACAGTATTGCCATTAACGTTCACGGATCAGCTCTGATGTTCGGACAAACGAAACGTACAGGAGAAGCTAATATGTATCCGAAGCCGATCCAGGATTTGTCCGGTTGGGAAATTAGATGTGTCGGATGTTCCCAGACTAGTGTAGTAGTCGCAGCTGATGATTCGGTTATCGCTTGGGGTGCTAGCCCTACTTTCGGTGAATTGGTAAGTAATTATGTGTAATGAATATCTTTTGACCCTTTTAATTTTTGAAAACTAAACTTCCTCTTCTTCGATAAATTGCAGGGTTTTGGCGAAATGCGTAAGTCCTCGACTACTCCAATGGAAGTGAAAGCGTTGGAAGGTTTGTACATTACTGCTGTTACCTGTGGCCTCTCTCATACCCTCATGATTTGTCGAGACGAATCCGAAGAAGAGAAGGCTAAAATCAACAAACTCCAAGTGTATTCCGTTTAAATCGCATAATTTTCAGTTTGATTATACAAATATTAATCGAATTGCCTCGCGTGTCGAGGCGTTTGGAAATTTTTCTATACTCATCGCAATTGTTACTGCATTTAAAGGAACAAGAAAAAAAAAAAAGAAAAGAAAAGAAAAGAAAATCAATTTGTAATGAAAATGCGTTATCACCTTTAATTAAGCCAAGTTGCTTTAAATAACTTAAAGGAAAGATTGAAAGATCTGCGAACAATTTATTAATAGACTGCGAAAAACGTCCATACAAAATATAGACTTAATGTTACTCTCTACTTTGTACTTCCACTTTTACTTAATAATATGAAGAAAAGTTTACCATAATAGGGAACCCCATTCTGTTAGTAGCTCAGGATATAGACCAAACGTATAGATAACGAAAATATATTTTGATACTTTGCTATTTTATTGAGGTACTCTCTCTTTCTCTGTGTCTTTAACAGGAACGGAAATAGTTGATACGTATGAAGAAGAGTGCTGGAAACTGAAAAAAAAATATCTCATGAATTTAACGAATACGCATTTACGTTTATTACTCATTTTAACGATACAAACATAAATAGCCTATATCATTGATTCATTACAGTAGTACCTGAATCATTAAATCTGCAGAAATCATTTTTATATTCTATGTACAGGGACATTTTAAATGCAATTATACAGGGAAAAAAAACGGATTTAATGTTTTAAATGGCTGTTTTTATGGTAAAAACATAGAAAATGTTTTATAAATTCATTTATCTTTGTGTTCAAGTATGAAACTTGTTTTAGCCAGCTAGACAAGAACAATGCTTTTTTAAAAACCAGCATTGTTTATCATACATTTTAAACTAAGGATTGTTTAACAGTTACATTCGACAAAGAAAGTTTCAGTAAGAAAAAAAGATATATATTGTTAATTACTGTATTATATAGGGTACAAGAGGATCTTGTAACGAATTTAAATACGTGATTTGGTCACCATATGTTACACAAACTCATGTATACGTATTATAATTAAGACTATCCAGTAGTGAATATAATCGAAATTTTATATATAATTTTATTTTAGAACTGTTAACGTAATATAAAAATCCATATAAATTTAACATAATGTCATATGTTTAAAACGGACTGTAATTAGATTCACTGCCACAATGTATTTGGAGTCTCTTTTATATTGCGATGATATGAATTTAATACTTATTCATTCCATTCTGTTCCATGTAATACCTTTATGGAATTACACTGCACCATTTTAATAAAATTGGAACAAATGTACAAGGCAAATTATAAAATAAACGAGATTTTTAAAGAATTTTTCTAAATATTTTTCTAAATATCTGTCTTTTATAAATATTTTTATTATTTGTTAGATTGCTCCAATACATCATTCTTATCTGATACACTTATTTTACACGAACTGCATATTTCAGGAAATTCACAACTTTCAAATTTTTTAAGTGATTTCCATACACATTTCCAACATTGTTTTTTAATACGATATAATTCTTGATAGCCTTTGCAAATATCGCAAGGAATATTTTTCATGGCTTCTTCATTCAGATTTTTTATTAGTTCTTCTTTTTCTAAACGTTTCGTCTCCTATTTGAAAAGTATTAATGCTTTACATTTTTAAATGTACACCGTACTGATTATTCCTAATAAAATAAAGCATTGGAAAATTATTATACATGATACTAACAACAAGTTTACGATCCATTTCTATAGTAGATAGCGCAATTAATTCTTGAAGATTGTCCTTTTTGGTTTTGGGAACATTGCTGAAAATCCATTGCAATAATTTATATCCCATGAAATGTATTGGGTCTGATGGCTTGTATTCTAGAGTTTTAGCCATTGCCCATGATAATGGCACCATAACATTTTGTCTGTTGTAGGAAATTAAAGAATGAAAATGAAGCAATGAAATGTATTGGGCTTTTATCCTTAATACAATCATCATTTACCTTAAGTAATCATTTCGTTGCGCAGTTAATTCATATACTGTTTTATTTTTTGCTAAAATATGACATTGACACAAGCAACTACATTGTTGATAATATTCTGGTACACTGGTAAAACTAGAACTGGTTCTAGAATTTGTCTTGTAGATTTCTTGCGTTATTTCTAGACAGCTACTGATTGGTTCCAATATAGTTAAACTACATTCGCATATTAGTTCCTGTAAAAAAATATTAACACAACAAATGTGGTAAATAGAACAAGTTAAGTAATTATATTCAAACCTCCAAAATTGGAAATTTTTCTTCCATTGCATCGAGGCCCAAGTCAACTAACATTTGTTCAGTTTCTTCATCAATTCCATATTGTTCTACTAATTGTACGACATTTTCTTCTATTCCAATGAGCCTCAAAAATTCAATTATTTTAGAAGATGCAGAATTAACAGGGGATTGCCAGTTTAAAATTCCAGGAATATCAATACCGCTTAAAGTTAAATAACGAAGAATATTTGGAGTTTGAAGTGCTACTCCGTGTACAATAATATTCCAACAATTTATATCATCTAAACTTGTAGATCTTAAATTTAAAATTAACTCATCGTTAAATTTGGTGGTCCACATTTCTTTGAACTTCAGACTATATGGCTCTACATTAAACTCTTTAAAATAATGAAGTTCACAATAACTAAGACTGATAAGTCCTAGTTTCATTGCTTTTATAATGTTATATATAGACATACCTAAAAATGAATTAATACAATTTTTGTTTTAATTTGTATCATAGATAAAAGACACCTTTCTCTCTCAATTTCTTTAAAACACGAATACTATATAAGCCACTATAGATAGAGATCAATAATCTTTCATCATTTGCAACATCAATAGAAATATTTTTCAATGCATCCGACTGCATACGAATGCATTGTTTAAGTCTGTCTGTTAGTAATGTCAATAATTTCTCTGTACTCCATGTTCCATATATTTGAAGTCCTTTATTAGTTAGCACGACATTTAATTTAGTTGTTTGTAAAATTTCTGTTGATGATGAATGTGTTGAACATGATTCGGAGGAGATTTCTCTAAAAATAATAAACTGATTTTAAGAAAAAGATTCACTTAACAATTTAAAGTTGTTTTAGATATAATTAAAATATTGTAACTTTGTATACTTTTCATTATGCGAATATTTATTAAAATTTTCATAGCTTCTGTGATATTTATTTAACATAATTGCTTTTTTTAATTACATACAAATGAAATTAATTTTCAGGACATGACACATATGAACTGATTATTATGGATTATGAAATGATCATTCAAAATCAAATTTTATCAGGCAACTGTTTTATAATGATATATCACATTATTTTATCATGATTAATGTAGGAATTTATTTTATTCACAATACATTAAAATAATTTCATTGAATCAGATAGTTATTGTTCATTCGATCATATTTAAAAAGTATCAGCATATAAAAGACAAAAGATTAAATAAACATATTTAATACAATATCATAGTAAATACATTTTTTTTACACAAATAACGATATGCATTTTACTTATTTATTGTGCAGTAAATATTGAAATTATGATAATAAGTTATCACGACAAGAAAGAAAATACTGAAACTATAAATGCTACAGCAAAAACATATATAAACATAATTAAAATCACTGTGTTTGAGATATTACCGAAGTTTTTTTGATATTTATTAATTATTAAATTACGTGCATACGCATAATATATTTACATGAATATAAATTTTGTATTACAAATACCTATATAAAATTTAACTGTTTAACAAAAAATTAGAAGTTAAAAGCAAACTCTATCTTTGATACAAGATATTTCTTCCCATAACATACACAAAGCAATAATGTGTCATATTATTATTCACGTTTGTTTTCAAAGTTCTCACACTTCAATATCTAGTTTTAGACCATATTCAACCTATGGTTTCTTTTGCAATTATCACTGGCAGAATTTCATATTACAATTATTTAAATCAAACTGCAATAACAATTTGAAGGTCTATTATGTAGCTGAGCATCATCTGCCAATTGTATTCCTCTCTGACCTCTGTGTCTTACACCTCCCATATTACCATTACCATACGAATTGATAAGAGTATGTCGATCCCAAAGTCCAGGTGTTTGTATTATCTATAAATAATGTTAATCTATAAGACTTGACAAGTTAAAAAAACAAAAAATAATCATACCTTTTGCACAAGTTCCTCGAAACAACATTTAATTCCATCTGCTGTTTTGGCACTGCTTTCAATGTATAGGGTTTGGTGTCTTCTGGCAAACTGTAGGCCTTCTTCAGTGCTTACTTCTCTGTTTGGTAAATCTATCTTATTACCCACTACCATTTTAATGATATCTGTCTTATTGCAATATGTATTCAACTCATTAAGCCATGTTTCTAACTTCATAAAGGTAACTCTATCTGTAACATCATACACTAATATAGCACCTTGACCATCTCTGTAGTAACTTGGTGTTAAAGTACGAAAACGTTCTTGTCCGGCAGTATCCTGCAATCATTTTTCAATATATTACATTGTTTTAATTAAAATATATGATTCTCTAATAACTAACATTAAAATGACTAACCCATATTGCAAGTTTTACTGTATTGCCATCAATTGTGACTTGTTTAGTTCTATAGTCCATACCGACTGTGCTTTGCATATTTTCATGAAATTCATCCTCGGTAAATCTAAGGAGTATGCTATCAATAAAAATAATAATATAAATGTAAGTAGATTTAATTATACAATCAACTTATATCAGCAATCATTATTATACAGTCAATTTATATCATTATTATACAGTCAATTTATATCATTATTATACAGTCAACTTATATCTGCAATCAACTTACCTAGATTTTCCAACATTTGATTCTCCTATCATTAATAGCTTTAAGACCGTTAACACATCTTGATCCAGAACCATTGTTAGTATTATATCACAGCACTCAGTCTAAATGTTATTTCTTCCTTTATGGCGTTGACACTGTTACAAATGAAATAATAATAATAATGTCATATAATCAATAAAGTCTCAATCAAATTTTAATCATAAGAATTCAATTCCATAACGAAATTATTAAATTTCCTTGGAATTTGAAAAGTGAAAACAAAGTGCTACAACAAAATAAATTGAAAATTACGTATTAATTATGTACTAATCAAAAGCACACAATAATTTGTGGCTATGTCACAGTATGATATGGCATATTCATGCAATTACTACATTGCACTTGATATTAATCACGGTGAAAACTCGAATAACGAAACGAAAGTTCAATAAATCTTGTTTACAAAACAGTTTCTTTTTTGGCGACGAAAAGGTTACAGATCGACGTTAATATTAATCCGAATACTTCTGACTTTCCCCTGGATCTTTAATAATCGCTCACCGTAAATATGTCACTCGGATCTAACGAATGATCTCATCGTTTCTTTACAACACGTAAATGCGAAAAATTACGATGCACTATTCTCGTGATGTATACTCTTAACGGTGGGGAAAGGAACGTCGAAGTAATTACAGTAGTTGTTCCAAAATAGCGTAGATGTCGTTTATGTTTGATTCTGGCCAATTACGCAGAAGACATAAAAGAAAAAAAAATGTTCCTAATAAATTCCTAACAAATGTAAATCAATCTTTATTGCAAATTTAAAGCGAAATCCCTGTCGAAATTCGAACAAAACGATTATGTGTGATTTATACGAATCATCCATCCTTAAATTCCAAGTCGTACGTAAGATTCGAACGTGTGAAATGTACGATTATTTAAAATAAGACGACACGAGTAGAGTCATGAACAGATCCAAAGTTTCGAATCATGAACAGATCGCTCGAAATTGCGAGAATAGCCGTGTACACTTGTACAGGGAGTGACCTAACCTTAACTGCGCGATACACGCTACGTTATCGCGTACGGAAAGATAAGAGTTTCATCGAAGATGTCAACTATCGAACACGGTCGATTCTTACGAAGAGCATCCAGCCCGCGCGTACAGTTATCGAACGACGTAGATTGATTCGAGTAATTGATCGATATTCATCGATCGAGCTTGAGAAGAAACATAACCTCAAAAAGAGAGAACGAAACGAGGGGGAAGGGGAAAAAGGGAGAAAGAAATACAAAGAGAGAGAGAGAGAGAGAGAGAGAGAGAGAGAGAGAGAGAGAGAGAGAGAGAGAGAGAGAGAGAGAAATTACGATGCATGGGATATGCCGTCGGTGAGTAATCGTCGCGAGTCGACTTTACTCGGGGTAAAGTACTCACCGACACTAGTGGGAGCATTGCAGAAGAGCGTTCGGACGCATCTTCGCACGACACGTCGAGAATCTAGGATAAAGTAAGTTTTCGTTCGCTATAGTGGCAGAACATTGGGGCAGACAGGAGAAAAAAAAGATGGCCGCCGGTGGGCTGCCATGAACGGGCTGCGTCGCTCACGCTCGTGGAAATGGGACGTTGCGACACCGAAGTGTCACCGCAGCACCCGTGAAGTGTCACAGAGTGTTCGTCGAGTGACGTGAGGTGTTTTTGTTTTGGTCGATCGCCGCGGGGGCCGATCGTTCGCGATGGCATCGGACGGGTAAGAGAACGAAATCCGCTCGATTCTAGGGGGGAATGGAAATACGTACGTACGTGCCATTGCCGCGGTACACTCGCTATATTTCGCGGATCGATAGTGAATTTTTTTTTTTTCCCAGTGACCCGTCCCAGTTTTCTTGCGGCGAGAGTTACGTCGTACTCGTCGACACGAACGACAGCATCCTCTCTCGACAATTCAAAACAGTTTGTCAAACACGCACGAGAGACTGGGTGGGTCTTTAAATTCGACGAGATTCGCTCGAACGTTTCTCTTTCACGTTCTTTCGCGTGTATGCGTGCACGAATCGTCCGAGTCATGTGCGCCTCGCGTATCTTCCCCTCCGTTTCTTTCGCCACTTTCGTTTTTCCCTTTTTTCTGTTTTTTTTTTTCTTTTCTTTTGCTTCGCTTTTCCGTTCCTTTGTACACAATTGTGCGCGCGAAACGGATTTCTACCGCCTATTTCGGCCAATTAAACGGATAGCATGACATCAGACGGTTGCTCGTATTGCAGCCAGCATTCCTATCAATCTGTGGTTATGGGGGTGAGGGGTGGGGACGGGCGGACGGGGGGATGGACACCCTTTTGTTAACGACGAAAGTTTCCTCGGTTTGCGAATGTTTCGCTTCCCCGACGTATTTCTGCCAGTAAGGGCTGACAACGTTCTTCTTTTTCCTCTCTTTCTTTTTTCATGGCTCGTAGATGGTTAGCACAGCTTATCTACGATATTTATTATCTATGAAAAATAAACTTCGATAAGGCCAGTACCGCGTGCCCCGTTTCCCCTCCCCTCCTCGTGGATTTGGCAGAATTCTATCGATTAATTATTTATATCTTGCAGTTGATCCGACGCGGTTTTACATTTCCAAATTCGTCAAAATTAAGCTCTCGATCGTTTGTTATCTAGAACTTTTTTAAATGTTACTTCGTAATGTCTTCTCGGTTTATAAAACATACCGCCACATGCATACATGCGTATATACATACATACATATATATATATTTTCACTTTGCCGCCCTATTTTTAGAGTTTTTAATTATAGTAATAAAAAGGAACAACAAATTTATCTTCGAGTGCACCCTACATGCTTTAATGACTTAATGTGTGCGCTAGTGATTTTATCAAGTTTAAATATCGCTTGTGAGATATTTTTTAATAACTTTGTCGTCCGCAGGACGGATTTTTTAAAATAAATTTTCCGGGTCAGAGAGGATCGTAAAATTATTCTTTCATGATAAATCGTTTGTGTTAAATTTGTGTTAAATTAAATTTGTTTAATTATTCATATTTCTAAAATTAAAAAAAGTAACTGTAATTGCAGTAGAATGGAGTGGGTAGAAATTATAGAACCTCGCACCAAGGAGCATATGTATGCTAATCTCACAACTGGAGAATGTGTATGGGATCCTCCACCTGGTGTACCAGTGTAAGACATAAATATATATATTCTTTTAATATGCAGTTAATACTGGATTAAATTATAAAGTCGGCTTTCTTATTAAGAAAAAATAATTAGTTGTCTAAAAGATAAAACTGTCTTTTTTTAATCTAATTAGCTTGGTGAAAGTTATCATCACATAAGCTTTTCCTTTTATGATGTAGGAAGCATTTACAATTGACAAGATTTCTACTTGAGGCACATGTAGAATATAAATGCTCTTTGCAACCTAAATTTAATAGGAAACAGTTTTAAGTTCAAAGTAAAGATCATAGTGAACAGTTTTAATTACTTAAAAATTAATTACTTAAAAAAATTTACTGGATTTATAACAAATTTGTTGTAGTCTGTGCAATGTATGTAACATAGTTATAAAAACAAGATAAGTTTCTGTTACAATCTAACGATAGTTTTTCAAGTATTAGTAATTTATACTACATATAAATGTATTCTTAATTGTGTTCTTAATTACAGAAAAAAGACAGATAACAATCAATGGTGGGAATTATTCGATCAAAATACTTCACGATTTTATTATTACAACGCAACATCCCAAAAAACTGTGTGGCACCGTCCAAGCGATTGTGACATCATTCCTTTAGCAAAGCTTCAGGTAAGTGACTCACTTTGCCTGATAACAAATATATAATTTAGAGGGGCAATGGTAAGACTAAACATGTATGTGACATTCTGTTAAAAATTAGGCGAGTTCCTTAAGTATTTGAAGTTTTAGATAATGATAAAAACTTATTGACATTGTGTATATTTACTCACTGAACGTACCGTTTGATTTATTAGGGATACAAACTCTATATGTGTAAACACAATGATTTAGAAGCTTTTCTTTCCATCAGTATAGAGTCTCTGTAGGATGTTAAAGATATAAGTGAGCAAGCTGTCTGCTTTCCATACAGCTATAAATAGCTGTTTGTAGCTAGGAGAAAAAACTCTGGTATACATTATACCATGTTAGCAAGCATTTGAGAATCTTTTAAATTTTGCTTTCTTACATCACGTTACGTTACATTTTTATTTCTTTGCGCGAATTAAAATTAAAACTTTTTTATATTGTACTAAATGACGGTTGTAATAAATAACAGCTGCTCGTAGGTGATTGTTATTTATTTTTTGTTTTTATCGTTGGCATTAAATTTGACTGAAATAATTGTGGAAATTTATTGTGCCGTAGACACTGAAACAAAATACAGAACCAGCAAGCAGCAGTGGAGCCGATACTCAGAAATCAACCGAGCCAAGAAAGAAAGAGTCCGTATCAACACAGACACAAACTCCTTCAGTCAGTCGATTAACAAGGTTTAATCATCAAGAAAGTTCCAATTTATCCACTTCGTTGGTAAGTCCTTCATCCTGCGGTCTCTGTTGTAAAAAAAAAAAAAAAAATCATTGGCATATAACTACCTTTTGTTATAGCAAAGTGGTAGTGTAAATAAAACAAGAACATCCAGTGTTGGCGTGGATCTCCAAACGTCTCCTCCTTCTCCATCTCCATCTTCAAGGCGGCATCATCATCATCATCACCATCACAATAACAGACATCACAGGCACCATGAAGTGCCTACAGCACGTCGCCAACATAATCATTCTCAAGACTCTGGTCGATCTAGTGACAGTTCTGTCTCTCACAGCCGTACGTCCTTGGAATCGACTGGGTACCGGCTGTTGGACTCTCCGCATCGGCACCATCATCGTTCCGCCGCGCAAACGTCATCGGCAAGTCAAGCACAGTCATCGCCGAGGCAGCACAGCGGCACGTTGGAGGCTAGGGGGCACAAGAGTGGCACCTTAGAAAGCGTGAAGAATCAGAAGTCAGTGCCGTTGGGTGAACCGCCTCCATTAGGTTTGTCACTCTCGACTAGTACTCCCCTATTTAAGAAGAAGACGTTCGTTGATTCGCAACGCGAGGGTAGGGCGGGCAATTTAGAGTTGGAAAAGAATAAAAATGGTAAGAATGTGAGTTAAATTTCATTAAGAAATTGAGATCGCGACGTTTCTGTTCGAGAAGAAGGTAAAATGAGAAGGAAGCTAATTCAGTGTGTTTTGCTGCTGCAGGTAGAGAAAGTAGTAGAAGCTCGTATGGTCCTGAACCAAGTACTTCGCCGTATCGTGAGTCGCTGATGGAATCTAGAATATTCAGGCAAGAGATGCCTCCGTACCGTCCGCCAGAAGTTCAGTTGAGTCATAGCTATAAATCGCAGGGTGAGAAGTATGGCTCCCTGGTGGAAAGCAGTAATCGTTATCATAGAGATAGAGAAAGAGAAATTCACCATAGAGAGAGAGTAAATAGTTTGGACAAAACAAACACTTCAGCCTTTTATCCAAGTTCCATGCATCCGCGTAATATGAATAAGCAAGATAATACTGGTAGTATAGGAAGACGGCATCATGGATGCTCGGTGTCGCTTTCGGAAGCGAATGTTAGGGACATGTACGGTGCAATGTTAGCTGAGAGAAACGATCCTTCGAAGAGCTTTGTCAGAGGTGCAGGCGTATTGAGCAATACGTCGAAGCAAAGAAGCGTTGAGGTTCCAGAACGAGAAAGAGAGCGAGAGCGCGACAGGGAGAAAGAGTATAGAAGAAATACCGCGTGTAACAATTCGCTGGATTGTAAGTTAATTCTCGTTTCTTTAAAATTAAGTAGTCATCGGTAGTCTCTAGTGTTTTAATTCATTCTTCTTTTTCTTTCAAGCTGTGCCACAACCATTGGCTCGCAGTTACAGTTTTGTACAGCAACAAAAGCAGCAACAAAAGTTGCAGCAGTTGCATCAGCAACAGCAACAGTCGAGGAGAAGAGATAGGGACGATGATTCTATGCACGAACGTTATCTTATCAGCCAGAGTCACGAGCAACCTAGGCAAAGGCTTAGCAGTAATACTAGCAGTAGTAATAGCAGTAATAGCAGCAGCAACAGTGCCGTGGGCGAGGAGACGGAAGGGCTTACGGAAGCGGACGACAGTAAAAAGAAGAGAAGCAATGGTAATCCGAGTCCGCCTCCGTGTTTCTACGGGAACCTGTTATCTGACGACGATCACTTGTTGCCGCTTCAGCATTATATTCTTCAGCAAGCAAAACTCTCAGGTGCGACTTCGACGATGAAAATAACTGTGACTGTAATTTTGAGAAACATTGACAATCCTTGGCGACTTGTGCAGGTTGTTACAAATTTGGAGACCCGTTGTTGGTAGAAGAGGGCGACGATTCTTTGGACGAGGAAGGTGGAAGAGGCGAAGGTATCGGCGGTAGGGCCGACGACGATTCCGATGATCAATTCGCGGATGACGAAGCAGCGAGCAATCAAGGTGATTCCTCTAGTCAGGAATACCTCGAAGATCACTATGCAGGTTAGTTGTCCAGAGAGAATGATGGAAAGCTTGTTAAATTAAGTTGAGACGTGTATATTTCGATACACTCAAGGTAACATTCGTATCGTAGATCTCGGTAACTACGATACCGCTGGATTAGCGACGTACTACAACACTGCTGACACACTGACGAGGCCACAAGTACGGCCACCGTCGCCACCGAGTATCCCCTCGCAGGCGGAAACGAGAGAAACCACCGTGACAGCGGTTACGAGACAGCCGCCAGTTCCACCGTCTGCCACGATAAGTTCTGTTCCCGTTGGTAGCGTTGTTGGCAGCGGTGTCGACAACACCGACGTCGACGAGGCGAGACGAGACGAAAGCGCCGGCGGCGGTGGCGGCGGCGGTGGTGGTGGCGGTGGTGGCGGCGGCGACATCGAGAAATACGCACAAGACAATCTTAATCTGAACTGCGGACGCCCAAAGGGGCTGAGGTTGTTGTTCCGGAAGAAGTTCAGCGTCCGCGACATTCTCAGCTGGTCCAAGGACCCGATACCGCAGCCGATGCTGGTGGTCGTTGACGGTGAAAAGTTACTGAAACGGGAGGCCTGCAATCTGTTCAGGCTGGTGCAAGTGTACATGGGCGATCGGAAAGCGAACGTCGGAATGACGTTGGACAGCGTGGCCATGGACATTGTGAACACAGCGTATTCGAAGCCACCGTTGCGGGACGAGTTGTACGTGCAGATATGCAGGCAAACGACGGAAAACCCGAGGAAGGAGAGTTTACGCAGAGGTTGGGAGCTGATGGCCGTCTGTCTGGCGTTCGTGCCGCCCAGCGCCACGTTCGAGCCCTATCTCGAAGGCTACATGAACAGACATCGTGATCCGAACTTTCAGTTCTCAGAGGTGGCCAAGTGGCCGATTCACGTGCAAGTTAGTCATTATGCGACCGTCGCCTGCCGTCGTTTACAACGAATCGGAGCACACGGCAAACGGCAGCCTCGCAAGGCCACCATAGAAGATATCGATCAAGCGAGAGTATGCCATTTCTTCTTATCTACTTGTTGTCGCGTTTCCTCTGTCGAATGTCGTTCTTACGTCTTTCATTTTCATCGTAGATTCAGATCTTCCGGGCGTCCATGTTCGGAGCGACGTTGTCGGAAGTGATGGCGTTGCAGAGAGACAGATTCCCAAATCGAGAGTTACCATGGATACAAACGACGTTGACGCGTCAAGTGCTCGCTCGGGGCGGTATCCTGACGGAGGGGATATTCAGAGTGTCCGCGGACGCGGACGAAGTCAGTGCTTTGAAGGCTTGCTTGGACAGGTTCGAGGATGGCACGATTCTGGCAGCTTCGCAAGATGCTCACGCTCCTGCTTCTTTGTTGAAATTGTGGGTCCGTGAGCTTTACGAGCCGTTGATACCCGATTCATTTTACACGGAATGCGTGTCGATGAGGCACGACGACGTCGAAGCTTCTGCAGCCAATGTCGCCGCGCTTGTAGATCGTCTGCCTGATTTAAATCGTCGTGTTCTTTGTCACCTGATACGATTCCTTCAGGTTAGTATTAGCTTTACTTGCACATATTGTTAGATTTAAAAAGACTTAGTAGATTTAAAAGATATATATATGAGATATATAGTTAAAAGATATATCTATTAATAGATTTAAAAGATATATATATATATATATATGTATATTTTTTTTATAACTGTAGGCATGTTTTTTTTTTTCTTAAATAAATTAGCAGATCGTTTTTTTTTTTGCGTTATGATCTTGAGTTGAATGTCGTACTGAAAATTGAATCGAGCTAAATTGAATTGTTCGAGTTATATTCGCTATAAGCAGTAAATAATGATGAGTATCAGAGATACGATACGACCCTTGTCGTTCAATTGTCAAAAGTAGCAAATCGTCAATCGAAACTTGACACTTTGTTTGTTGGAACTTGCGACAAAGTGAAACTATCAGGATTGATTAAACGTTCAGCTCGTCCTCGACTGAGGGGATCAATTGAGGCTAACGAGCCTCGCTGACGAGAAGTGACCTGGTTTCCCTTACTATCTCTTGTTTTCTTCGTTTGAAATTCACCGCGTATCGTATGAAATACTTGTTCCAGATTTTCGCCAGGCCGGAAGTCGTTGCCCGCACTAAAATGGACGCAAACAATTTAGCAATGGTGATGGCACCGAATATATTGCGCTGTACCTCGCAGGATCCGCGCGTGATCTTGGAAAATGCACGAAAAGAAATGGCTTTTGTTCGTACTCTTATTGAGTCATTAGAAACTGCTTGGGTCGATGATCTTCACTGACCATTCTATTGCGCGCTAGAAGAGAGAACGCTCTAGACTACTATGCCAAATGAATCCAGCTGTATATTCACGTGTATTGTTAGTTATTTCACTGTTTTCTCTATTATCGTTCTCACTTTTTCTTTCTTCTTTCATTCCTTCTCTTTTTCTTTTCTTTTTTTTCTTCTCTCTCTCTCTCTCTATTGTCATTATCACACACACACACATACATACACATATACACGATACCCCCCTCCCATAGATCCGTGAATGTTAAATTAACGTAATGGTAAATTTAGTGCTAAAGTCTTACCAAGCTAATCACCAAGTTTTCCCTGCTCCTCCTCGTTTCCCTATTTATTATTTATACGCAGATTATATGTTATACAGATAGAGATTATTAGATTATATTATGTATATCGCTATATATTCATATTATATATTTTACCAATCCTTGTTACCGCGTTGAACAAACGCGGACGGCTTTTTTACTTGATCATTGTTGAATCTCGTGTAAGATAAAACGATAAAAAA